TATATATATATATATATATATATATATATATATATATATATATATATATATGTGTGTACGTGTGTATATATATATATATATATATTTTACCTCTTTGGCGACAGCTCTTCATGTAGATTGTCTACTTCTTCTTGTCCAACTACAAGCCAAAACAAATTTCACAAAGTTAAGCCCATGAAAAACATATCTTTAACTTTAAGCCTTTTCTCTTTTTAGTCCTATCTCTTTTTATCCTTTCATCCCCTTAGGTGCCAGAATTTAACCGTAACTGATAAAGAAATGTGGGACAGTGGCAGCAGAAAGTGAGATTTTAGTGAATATACTTAGTGACTGACTGAAGATCAGCGTTTTAAGGTGTGGGCTAATGTTTTGATTAAAATGTAAAATTAAAAGATTTATGAACTGAAATTTATTTCATTTGTATTAAATGCCAAACAACATTTTTCAGGGGTGCTTGAGCTCGGTGCCTGTCCATTTGCATATCGCTGTTGTCGGAACAAAACCTCGTATCTCCAAAATGATTTTATTGGAGAAGGACAAAACCGACTTTACTTTTAATGTAAGTCAATGGAACCAGACTTTTTCCCCCAAGTCATTTTGGGCCGTTTCAAATTATGACAAAAACTGAAAAACAACAAAAAATGGAGATACAAGGTTTTCTTCCGACAGCAGTGATGTGTTCTTCTTGGAGCCATGATTAACCAGTTGCTTTTTCCACTCGCTTAAGCATCTAAGACAACATAAAGGTACAGTGATAACTGAGTGATATTAGGGGGCCCCCTGGTGGCCGTAAGCAGCTGCTAGCTGCTAGTGTCGCTTATTAAGTAGAGCTGACACTGGTGATGACGACTATCCTAAATATGGAGGAATGTGATCCAAGGTCAGCCCTGCTCTGATAGTACCAGCTCTGCTGTTTATCTGAAGTGGCTGCTCATAGCAGTGAAGTCTGGTTCATTTTTGTAGCTCACAGTAAGTCATACTTTACTCTAAACCACACTGACACATCTGCATGGCCTTAATGAAAACCTGGGAACACTTTAAGTTTTGCGGATGTAATTTTGCACAAGCGATTTGGGTGACTATTGAATTCTTGGTTTTATGAATGACGTTAGCCTTGTAGCTTCAGGTCTAAACTTAAGAAACAAGTTAAGGACTCCAAAAGTGTCTCTAGTGATCTACTCAGCCTGGGCTAAGTGGAAAACTGGGTGAATCTGATTTGAGCTGAATTTTGACTGTAAGCTGGATTCAGATACTGCAGGTAAGTCAGTTAGCTCACTTAAAGCAAAGAGCCTCAAGGTCTCCCGTTCTATAGGTCTACACACTGTGGACGTCACCAGAGTGTGGACTTTGAGGAGGAACGCAGGCCTCAGGGTGCAGTTTGGGGCGCAGCTGAAGTCGCAGAACTGAAGCCGGCCTACAGCTTGCTTGCTTTTCCCGCCCTCTGCAGGTGAGAAGGTGCAATTACACACTGCTCAGTCCACGTTTCATTGATCAGTTTCCTCCAGACTAATGAAGATGCTGGTTTATTCTGCATTATAATAAAGCAGATCACTATGAGGAACACAGATTAAAACCCTACAAGCAAATCAAGCAAGAGAGTAAAACAAATAATCATATTTAATGTTGTGAACATAAAGTTTCTGATTAATGTTTATGAATATTTGAAGGTTTTATGCTCCTTCACCTTTAATGAAAACATGATTAAATGCATTTTCGGTAAAATAAAATCAAGCTCAGCTTAAACTTTGTGTGTTTTTGTATTGATTTTTTTAAAGAGCTTGTATCCACCTGAAAAGGTGGAATGTCATGACTCGTCAAACTCTGGATAACTTGCCAAGCCCTGCACATACAGATGTAAAGTGTAATTATCAAATGAAATAGAAGATTAATGGAAATGACCAGTTTTTAAAATGTATTTTAGTTTGGAACAAAACAATTGATTTGCAATGTATCTCACATAGTTAAAAATACAAATATTACCAACGTCGATTATTCTCTCTTGTTAAATTATGGAATATCCTCAGCAAAATGGGAATTCCAGAGTATCTCATCCTTCTACACCATTAGAAATAAAGGTTCTGTGCAGGTACATTTCTTGTTGATCAAGGTACAAACAGTGTAAATGTTCCCTCAAAGGTTCAACAGTGGTTTTAAGGTCTGATTGTGAACCTTAAATAAGTTTCTCCAGGTGAAAAGTTCGTATTTGTACCTTTTCATAACCGAATGTTTGAAACAGAACAGTAAAATAAAAGCCTGGAGACGAGACGGGGTGTGTGGAGTCAGTACAGCTTAGAACATATCATTTCAGTGGATTATGGTTCAATTATGTTCCCTGACTAAAGGTACTGAGATGAACCCTTTAGGGAACCACCCCAGTGACAAGAGGAGCACTGACCCAGTGATGGTTTACTACCTTTATTTCTGAAAGTGTAGTGAAGAGTGATAGCTACATACTATCACTATACCTATTCAACCTGTATGCAGAACATACAATTCGAGAACCAGGACTGAAGGAAGATGATCGAGGATTCAGGACTGGTGGAAGAAACATCAACAGTCTTCAACACTCACAGCGGAAAATCTTGAAGACCTGAAGGCCCTTATAGGAACGATTAAAGCACAGAGTAAAAATTGGACTTCAGCTTAATACAAAGAAAACTAAGAGAACTTGTAGAGAGGAGAATTACACTCTGTAATGTCTTCTGGGTTTCTCAAACACTAGAGGGCGCTCCCGAGCGAGTCCAAAATGAATGGGTTAGGATGGAGCATTTGAGCAAAATCATAGTTTATGAACACTGAAACATTTTTAATGTAAAAGAATTCATTCATTTCCTGAACACAGAGCAGCATAAAACATTTTAACACTGCTGTTATATTTTTAAGAGCTTTTAAACTCGAGTTATAGGAGTTTAAAACGACGCCTCATGTACGTTCATGACGTCAGTGAGTGCGAACAGCCAATGAGCTGCTCCGCTCGCCAATCAAATCAGCACTCAGTAGCAGTAATGTTAGCGTTCTGCTACCCAAAACCCGTTTACTGTATAAAAAGGAAACATACAGGTGAGTTTTTGCTTTTTTAGTGAAATACAAACTTCTACTTTCTAAAACTAAAGGAAAGTTCTGGACGAGTGATTAGAAACTATTTTAACTTTTTGTTTTTAGCCATTTCGCTCCATTTACTCCCATTCACTGAGGACTCGCTCTGCTGTTCAGCAGTCCTGTTTTTGGTACAATAGGGGAAACAGGAAGAGGCCAGGCTCCTCATAAACCAGCCCTGCTTAGGTCTAATTCTCCTGCCTCCCATGGCCACGGCTGCCCTTCGTATACGATCCTGTACACTGTCATCACAGAGGTTTGTTAAAAACAAAAAAACAAAAAAAAACATAACCTTAGCACTGTAGCCTGGTGAACAGTTTCCTATTCTCCAGGGTGTATTTTGGTTTGTCCATCTGAGTTTACATGACCAAATCGTAAGGCAAATTATTCAGTAACTGCATGAAATAAATGTACATTTTTATTTATTTATTTATTTTTTGTAAAAGCTCCCCTCAAATTAACAGAGCATGTGTTTTATGATCACACATATTGCTATATGCTTACAATTTACTGCTGAAAGCCAAAAATCTTAGACGCTCTTTGTATTAATTTATAAAAATAATTTTCACAGAGCAGATCACTGAAGAGACGCCATCTGTTTATAGTTTATAGCCCAGATTTGTGGAAAAATGGGTTTTTCAGTAGAAAAAAATGTGAGTTCAGGGTTTAAATGACATTAAATTACATTAAATTACATCACCCATCTATTTGACTGGAAAGAAGACAGTTACAGCTCTCATACGACCCCCACCTTTAGAATGTAGCATATGAAATATGAAAGTTATGAGGAACATGATGAAGTGCGTTGTGGAACCATCAGTGGTCCCACGGAGTTGAAAAGGTTAAAATAGAATTACAATGTTGTGTCTCTTTGCTATTTGCGGTGTTTAAGGAACTAACGTAATGTTTACATGGACTGCACAGCACAGGGCTATCATAACACAGCGCTTTATGCACCCATCCGCCATTGTGGCAGGGTTCATCAGTCCAGGCTAGTTTAGAGTAGTTGAAAAAACTGACTTATCTACCTGCTTTCCTTTATTTGGCCTGATCTGTAGCTTGTGGTCCCACTAAATACATTTGCAGAGATGAGTGGCATGTGGGTCTACATGAATTCCAGATCACTGATCAGATCAAAATCAAGATAGGAAGGAAAGGAAGGTTTAATCAGCTATTCGGACGCAGCTCTGGTTAAACAGCACATAGGAAGCATCACAGTGAGAATGCAGATCAACATCAAACTCATTTTATACTCTAATCTTCTGGTTTTAATGGAATAAAACTTTCAACATCATTTAGTTGATTTGTCAGTTTTTTCTGTGTAACTGCTGCACCATTTAAGCTGTTTGACATTTGTTGGTTAAGATATACTCCCTTTTCATTTGACTCAATATGAAGCAGATTTATATATTCCGAACTCCTGTAAGCCATTATTTCGACATAATCAGTCAAAATCTTGAGAAACAAATTTGAACTCTTCTACATTTTCACTGCCACACACCAAACAGCACCAAACACTGTGTGTGTGTGTGTGTGTGTGTGTGTGTACATATATATATATATATATATATATATATATATATGTATTAACAATTCTAATACTACTAATACTAAAATGTATATTAGTAATTAGCATTTTAAGGTACATTTACAAGGTGTGCTTGTTGTTTACAGCTTGTTATACATATATGTATATATATATATATATATATATATATATATATATATATATATACATATATATATATATATATATATATATATATATATATATATATATATCAACGTATACATTAACAATTTATCAACATCGAATTGACCGATAAAACTCGGTACGATCGCCCAGCCCCGCTGACGCCCGACCCACTTCCTGCCGCGTCACGCGGTGGGCGTGGCCACGCCGCTGATGTAAACACAGACACACGGATCAGATTAGCCACGGCTAAACAGCGTAAGGCCGCACCGTCGAGATTTCCTTTACAAACCGTGCTAAACCATCTATGCAGCGTTTAACTAACACTGTTTAACAGCCATGGACTTCTACATCAACCTGAAGGTGAATTTCAGAGGAAACACGAAGAGTTTTCTGCTGTCCGGCTCGGAGACGAAGAGCTGGGAGACGGTGGAGGCCACGGTGAGCTCAGCATCGACACCAGAGGCTTTATTCAGCATGACGTTCACATTAAACGGTGTCGGAGGGATGGAGGGATGGGTGCGAAAGAAATTACACCCTACACGACAAACAAAAGCCTGTTTTGACGGCCACAACCCGGGCCTGCTCGCCTCCAACCCAGTTTGCCTTTATTCCGCATCGTTGGGCGACCATTTTAGCCATTATTTTAGCATTTTGTGGACCAGAGAGGGAACATGTTTCGTTTTCTGTCCGCTTTTATTAACCTTGAATGTGTTATACATTTAATAATACATGAGGCTGAAATTGGCTTCTTATTCGCCAGCTCCATGTTTGTAATTTTCCGTTCCACCTTAAATGGGGCAGCAGTTACGTTCTGGCGACTCGGGCTCCAGAATGTAACTGCTGCACCATTTAAGGTGGAACGGAAAATTCGAAGAAGAGGCTGATTTCATCTTCGTTAATATTACTGGCCTAAAGCCACTTATCTAGCTACAAATTTAACTCTTCTGCCATGGTTTTCATATTCATATTCAATTCGTCTGGCATCATTTTCACTATTGCTCATGTTTCTCTTATCGTTTAGTATCTAAACTGAGTTTTTAAGTAGGTATGTGGGCAGTAGGTGCCGTTCTGTCACATTACTGGCTATAACTCTACCTCCTTGTGATCAGCAGTGCAGGCCTGTGTAGGCTTGGCCACAGTTGGCGTTGTTATACTGTACTGAGATACACTGTCTGTCCAAAAATATCCAGACAGCCCTTCTAATTAGTTAATTCAGTCATTTTAAGGTGCGCTCGCTGTTCACAGCTTGTTTAATTTCCATAGAAAAGCATTCACCAATGGAATGGGATGCTCTGGAGCAGCCGCACATGAGCCTAAGGTCACCATGCCCAGTGCCAAACGTGGGTTAGAGGGGTATAAACCCCCCAGTATTGGGGCACTGTAAACACTGTAAAGCCGCAGTGGAACTGTCTTCTCTGGAGTGATTGAGTTCAAATATCTTCGAAATGAGTCGGAGTGATCCAGAACTGACCATCCAACATCAGTACCTGACCTCACTAATGCTCAATCAAATCCACACAGCAATGTTCCAACATCTGGTGTAAAGCCTTCCCAGAACATTAGAGGCTGTTACTGCAGCAAAGCCTTCCTTTCAGAGGAAGTGTTGATGAACATTTGGACAGATTGTTTACTCGGCAAGAAATAATCATTGACCACCTTTCACCTGAACTTGTGATCTACTAGCAGACACTGTAATTCATTAAAAAAAGACTGAATTAAGGCGGATGTCCTTGTTTTTATGACGTAATCTGTCCAAAGACCACAACGAAGGACTTTGTTGACATCGTGTTTTGCTCAGTTTTATGAATCTATGAGAAATAAAAGGATGAGGCTTCTGCCAAATAGTTGTGCAGCTGTGTTTGTGCCCTCTGGATGACCTAAAACAATAAAATAGCAAGAATTTACCTCTGAAGTCGTGCGTCATTCTGTAATTGGTGTCACGCCCAGTATTAGGAACTCCAGGTCTAAGCTGGTTTCGACTGTGGGGGAAAAAAATGAGTGGCATTTTTGAAAATCATTGATCTCATACCCTTTGGTAAACAAAAATATGAGGGTTTTATTTGAGAATATAGGATATAAATGTTAAATATAAATAAGTGTTTATGGGTTATCTACATTTGGCAGGTAGTACTGCTGTCACAATAAAAGTCCTGTATAATTGTACTGTTTAAATAAGGTAAATTAATTTTGAACTGTAAAAGTTGTTTTTTGTTTATTCTGATTATTATCAATTACTAACAAACTGACCTGATCAAAAGCAAATGAAACAAAGTGATTTCATATGTAGGCTCTATTTACAGTCTATAATAAATTAGTAAATCTTAAACTTACATTAAAAAGAAATTTAAAAGATCAGTTAATAGAAGAGTAATAGCATTTTATAGACAAATGGAGGGAAATGAGCAAATGAAATAGGTAAACAACAAACGTACGTTAAAAAAAAGGATAAATGTGAAAAACATAATTGAGATTAGAAATTAGCACTTGGTATAATATGTATATTTGGCTAAAATGCTGATCTTAGTTATAGCCCTGCTCTTAAGAGAGGAATTTTTGCTTGAAGAAGACATAAAAATGGGTGGGACTCTGTTTTGAACAAGACACAACATTCACAGAGGTCGGCTCAAGGCCTGTTTTGCAGTGTCATGGTAGTTGAAGCACGTTTTCATTTTTCCTCTGCTTCCTCGCAGGTGAAGAGGTCTTTCGGCTTATGCAATCTACAGCTGACATACTTTGATGAGGAAAATGAAGAGGTGAGTGTGCCAACCACATTAATTCTGTAGAAAAGACTATTTTTGGAAATATCATAACCAGGAAGCAGGCGCTGAAATGCTGTGTGATGTGCTGTTGTTGTGAACTCATGACACTGATCTCTTTCTTTCATTTTCTCTTTTAGGTTTCAATCAACAGCCAGTGTGAGTACAGGGTCTCTTTCTGTGTCAGAAGCCTGAACAGACTTTTATCTTTTATTTTTGTACAGTTTTTTTTATTGCCAACCAATTCTTTTCCTTTACTTTTCAGTGGAGTATGAAGAGGCTCTGAAGGTAAATAAAGCAGTTGTATATTAAGGTTTTGATTGGGTTTGGCCTTGTCGCCACTCAGTGCTGCATTCTGTTTATTTCACCTCTGTATATTTATTGCGATGCATTCATTTGAATGATATGATTCAATTGGATCTATATTTTTAATCAATTATGATAACACTCAAAGTTTGCAATTATTTAGCCTATATGCAGAGAAACAGATGGACTACAGTCTGTAACTGTAGAACTACAAAGTGCACCTATATAGTAAGTGGAGCTGATAAAATGGACAATGAGCGTAGAAACAAGGAGGTGGTCATAAATTTATGCCTGATCGGTGTGCATCAAGGTTAACATCCAGTTGTTCACTTGCTTTCATTTGCATATTCCCCAGCATTCTACCATTGTTCCTAGTGTGTATGTGTGTAGTTAATTAGTTGGTGACGTTCTGTTTGTATGGCCTATAATTAAGTGTAGACTTCTCTATTGATTTTGTCTTTGAATTAACATTAAGTAACAACGATTGGACAAAGGGAGATGCTTAAATAAAGGCGAAGCAGGTAAAGGTGGGCATATGAAAATACTGTATCATTGTCATGGTAAAATTTGTTATCGTGATAAACAAAATACTTTTCTAAACATAATGTGAATATTGTCATTTCTTAAAGAAGACTGAAGAACAGTCCATATATGGAAGCTGTAAAAACAGCCCGTTTTCAATTCACTGTTCTTGTGATGTCATTAAAAACAAACCATTTAGTATATATGTTTTTAATGTATCTATTAAATATATGCAGCAGTTTAGCCCTGCCCCTCATACTAAAGTTATAAGGAGTGTTTCGGCCAGGACTGCTTTTTGAATGAGGAACAGCCAATCAGAACAGAGCTTATTTACATATGAGTTCAAAAGACACAGTAACAAAAACAACCTGTTTATTTCTTATTTTCTCCTTATGATCATTTTAAAATGCATTTTGATTATTAGTACATAAAAACACCAACATTGTAAATGGACCTTAAGGAAAAAGATAAAATACAAGAAAAATGTAGGATATAGGCTCTTCATACATCATGATGTAATATTTTTGCCTTATTGCCCAATAAAAAAGGGACCAAAAAGTGAAACAGAATGTTAATTTGCATAATATAGATGCTAATTTGAATTATGATATTCAGTAATATCAAGGTTATGGTGTAAATAGTTCATTCAGTCACATTTCTGTGCTGACTGTGTTTTTTATATTTTTTCTCAATCTTACCAGGACAATCAAATTGAATCTAAAGAATCCAAATCAAATTGTTGAGAGCTGATAAGAGTCCCTGGTCTTTGTGTCTTCCCTACAGAGTGCAGCCCGACAGGGGAACAGGCTGCAGATGAATGTTTATGAGACCCGTGGCACCACGGGCAGAGTGCCCGGCCCGGCACCAGCCCTGAGTTTGGCTCAGGTGAAGACGGGCACCATCCCAGAGCCCAAGAAAGGCTTCCGGCCTCCGCAGCACTGCCCGGCTCTGGCGCAGGTGGTGAGCCGAAAGGTCCAGGCTGCCGTGCCTGAAGAGGGTTTAGTAAGAATCACTAATCTTCTGTTTTCACAACACCACAGACACTGACTGCTGGCATTTCCATGAACTCTGTCACTGGTTACACAGAGTTGAGAAGCAACTGCTGCTCTTGTTTTAGCCATAAATGAACCGACACTGAAAAAAAAGCATGTCTGAATGAAACAGTAAATTAAATAAATAGATCAAATAAATCAAATAGGTAGATTATTTTATTTCCACACATGTCTGTGGTATTGCTGTCGCTCGTAGTGGCATTGTGATCTCTTTGCCTCGTCTGCAAAACAAGCCAAGGTACAGCTGGTACTGAAGTGTGATTGCAGTGTTTTCCAGATTTCGGCAGTGCCTGACGGCGAGTGTATGAGATGCACGTATGAGACAAGTGGCTTGAGAAGTTCAACAAAGCTGAGGTTGGCTTCTTATTCGAGTCTCCTGTTCCACCTTAACTGGTGCAGCAGTTACGTCAGGCGGCTGAAATGATAGAGAATGACAGGTGCCAAGGCTGTGTTTACATTACCAGGCTAAAGCGATCTGATGCTTTCAGAGCCATGTGGACACGCAAATCTCAGCTTTTCTGAGCCACTTTCATATCCGGTCCTGCATGTCTAATTTGTGGCTTGAGACCTTAAAGGGGAACGCCACTCATTTTGCAAAATTACTGAATTATTCATCGATTTAGAAGTAAACAGTGTCATTCAGAGTGGTTTGGTGTGAAATATGCCTTTCTAGAGAAACTTACGGAGTCAGAATTGGTCACCATTGTAGTGCTAGGAACCTGGGACCATATTACAGAAAATTCTTAAGTCTGAGATCATATCTTATCTGCTTTCAATCGGTTTTACAGAAACATCCTAAGTTGCCAAAATATCCTAAATATTTAATGTAACTTTAAGATAAACTCCAGAACTGTCTTAACTTCTGTTTTAACTGTCTGTTTCTATTGTTTTATGCAGTGATAGGCAGTATAGTTTGCTATAACCAGCATAATGACGCTACATTTATCTACACTGAAAACGGTGCTTTGACTTGTTTGACTTGAGTTTTTTTTTCTAACAGCGCTTAAAAACCTCAGACGCTGCAGACTCGATCTCCACCGCCCCTCTGATTACCTTCGTGTGTTAATGTTGATGATGAAATATTACAGTGATGGTGGTGAATAATGAGGAGACAGAGCTGAACGTGTGTCTGTTTATCAGGAGGAGTAACGTTAGCATGCTCGGCTTAAGCGTTTGGGAAATGGAGACTGAAACTGAAACAGTGACGCTCTGATAAACAGCAGGGGGCGCTCTCACAATATTCTTAGCTCTCAGTTTATCACGCTTTAGTTTTATTTGACATTCTGTAATGTCAATATAATCAGTAATGGTAGCTAATGTTAGCTGTCTGACTAACAAGCTTGATTACATGTTTACGTTTCAGCTGTGCACGTATGGTCAGTTGCTAGGTAACAGACACGACAGTTGATTGTTAAGATTTCCTAACTTGAGATAAGAAAAGATGCTGTAAGATAAGATTCCTAAATTAAGATCAGATTTGCTTCTGTAATATGAATTTGTGAAAGATCTTATCTTGACCTGTCAGATCTTAAGTTAAGATAAAAAGACAAAGTTTCTGTATTACGGCCCCAGACGTCCGTATGTCTACACTACAAATATCACCATTTTATCTGCCATCCAAAACGACTAGTGAACTTACATGTGTCTTGTAGGGTTTTATATGCACATGGTAAAATAGTGCTAAATTTAAAAAAATAAAAGTTTTCTTTGGGTGCTATTTTTTTTGCTTCCCAGTACTATAATGGTGAACAATTCTGACTCTTGATTTCTCCAGAAGGACGCATTTCACACTGAACCACTCAATTTTTTTGGTTCACTTCCAAATCATTAAATGACTGAGAAATTTTGCAAAATCAGTGGAGTTCCCCTTTAATGAGAATGCTCAGACCAGCATTGAAGTGCTTGCACCATCAGTCGGTGTTACAGTGTCAGCAGCGCCGAACCTGAAGTCAGTGCCAGGAAACGCATCCGACCTCTGTTCGCCTTCGTCTTGCTCTAATAATGAGCAGCTGAGAACAGTTCAGAGCAGATGACCTTTGTGATGAAGGCCTTTTCTGCTGGTTAGTTTGTTTGTTGTTCGTGATGCACACAGTTTTTTCACGTGACGTTATTGATTAGGATGTGTGCAATTGAGTCATTTTAGGAAGGTGGTTTGTTTACATTAATGACAGATTCTAGAAACCTGCCTACACAAACGTGAACCATAGAGAACTGAGCAATAAGTCTGAATGAGGAAATGAGGCTTGTAATGCAAACCTGCTGCTTCATTTAAGGTGAAACGGAAAATTTGAACAAAAACTGTCAAATAAAACACCAACTTCAGCTTTGTAGAAACATTTAGCAGCGTTTTTGTCAAAAAGCAATGTTGATGTAGGTTTATCTGTATATTGTTCAGTTTTGTGACAAAAGAAATTACAAAAATGACATTACTTAAGCTATGAAAAGAACACTTAAAACCAAGTAAAAACTTAAAACAGACTGAAGGGAGCCATCTTCCGGTGACCGTCAGAAACTCTATGACCCCCTCTTTCAATTGGATTGTGATTGGTTCCTAGACGCCTCATGATTTTAAAAATATGGTGCTTTGAAATCGGATTAATCTTTCTGAATCACCCTATATTTTTTGCCACACTTATGCAGTATAGTTTTTGTCGCAGTATAATGCAGTACAGCTCTGTTGACAGCACGCAACACAGACATTAAAATTGCATTCATCTTAACAGTGTCAGCATCTTGATGTTGGCATGATGATTAGCTGCAGTGTTTTTGTCAGTCTACACTGAAAACAAAACACAGGACGAGCTATGGATGATGGCTTGCGTTCTGTTTGTGTTTTATAACAAATATTTCAAGCACTTTCTCATTTCACCCTATAACGAAAATTGTGCAGCATCATATATTTTCTCAAATTGTCATGCTAATAGTAATTTTGTTTTTAAGGTGACCCTTAATGAGCTTAAAGGCGGTAAAGTTGAGGATAAGACACCTCCAGCCTGGTTTACGTCCTACATGGAAAAGGTAAACCTAAGGTTTTTCCATGAAGTCTTGTTATGTGGTTAAAATCAGGTCACTGAGTCTCTGTATCTCTGTGCTTGATATCCTCTTCAGTTCAAGGACCAGGTAGTTCGAGAAGCAGTGGAGAAGATCTGCAGGGAGTTTTCTGGTCAGTGCTGTATCCATAAGCCTGTTGGAGCGGAGGCCCAGGTTCCTGAGGTTTCGTCCTCCACGCTGCCCGGAGCTCCCAGCTCAGCGCCGGCCTGCAGCAGCTGCCGTGGACAGACTGCGGGTGGAGGGTACCAGTGCAGGTGAGACAGTGGATGAAAGCTTTGCACTGATGGGCCTGGCAGTTATAAATAAACATGGACGAAATTCAGGCTTTAGGATGGCGGCTACCACTGTTTTAATCTGCTTGATGTACTTTACTCAAAGCGACGCTGAGAAACTTGTTCATGCTTTTGTGACAGCAGGGTTGATCACTGTAATGATCTTCTTACTGGACTTCCTAAGAAAAGAATACATCCTCTACAACTCGTACAAAATGCCTCAGCATCCTAACAAAAACAACACAGGGAGATCAGATCACTCCTGTTTTAAAAGAGCTGCACTGGCTGCCTGTTTCATTCAGGGTAGATTTTAAAGCTCTGCTATTAGTTTTTTAAGGCTCTAAATGACCTTTAAGCACCTCTTACATCACAGAGTGTCTGTCGGTTTATGATCTTAGATCTGCAGATACTGACCTTCTACAAACATCTTCAGTAAAATACAGAAAACGTGGAGAGACTCTTTATCATGGGTAGTCGTGGGCTGCAGGTTAGGGAATCAGCCCTGTGACTGGAAGGTCGCCGGTTTGATCCCCAGAGCCGACAGTACGTGACTGAAGTGCCCTTGAGCAAGGCACCTAACCCCCAACTGCTCCCCGGGCGCTGTGGATAGGGCTGCCCACCGCTCCGGGCAAGTGTGCTCACTGCCCCCTAGTGTGTGTCTTCACTAGTGTGTATGTGGTGTTTCACTGCACGGATGGGTTAAATGCAGAGGTGAAATTTCCCTGTTGTGGGACTAATAAGGGTCACTTAATCTTCTGTTACTCTGCTTCTAAACTGTGGAGCTCAGTTCAGCTTTTATTAGACTTTCAAGCTCAGAGCTCACTTTTAAGAAACATTTAAAAACGTATCCTTTTAACTAATTTAATCTTTGTCATTTTCTTATGTGACTTAAAATTAGTACTCATAATATCTTGCATTACTGTTGAGCTTTATCACCTGTCTCTAAAGCACTTCGAGCTGCCACTGGCACGAAAAGTGCTATATAAATTATTATAATTATTATTAGTAGTACTAGTAGTAGTTGAAGTAGTAATACTATTAGTAGTATTATTTTGTCCTTATTCTAGAGACGTATTAGATTTTTAACCAAATTGTCACTTTAAAACCCCAGGGAACCTTAAACAGCATAATTATGAATACAGATTAATATATTAATAACATATTAACTCATTTATCTTGTTCTTGTAGGCACACAAAAACATGTACAAAGTATGTACATGTAAATAACTCTGAACAACTATTGTAAATAACTTTCCAATGTCCACAAAATGACCAGTGGTTCTTATTTTTCAATGTAAACCATGTGGTCCTGGTCTTGGGTAGCTCTTACATAAGCAGTTCCCAAGGCTAATGGCTCACACCTTTAACAAAAGAATGTGTTCCCTCCTCTTGGTCTGTCTCTCTCGTAGAGCTGGAGAAACTTACCAAAAGGAAACAACCAAGCGAAAGCTGATCCAGCAAGCATAACAGAGCTACCAAACAAGCTCATAGTGTTCATTTGATCCATCTGTTAACCGGCCATGACGGCGTTCACTGGATGCAGATCCAGCATCAAAGTGAAAAAGAACCTTTTTTAAGGCGTCTTCATATAAAAGCTGGATAAAGCCTTTAGTGAGTGAACACAGGGGGTCTATAATATCACCTGTGTATGTAGAGCCTGTTTCACTCGTTTCTCCTTGCTTCTCTCGCTGTTGTGTTTAGTTCTGCCTCAGTGGTGCAGAAGCTGGGAATGTTGGACTGAGGGATGTCAGTCATGCCCACTCGTCAGGATATTAGGACCGTGTCCAGACAGTTCTCAGATAGGCCTGATTGTCATTTTTAAACTGTATTTTATTACAATTATGTCTCCTCAAAACCTTAGAGCAGGGGTCTTTAATTAAAATTCAAGGTCCGGTTAGAGAAAATTTCCTCAAGCAAAGATCCGGAACATCATAATGTCTAACTTGCATCATGATTCAGTGCCATATACTGTAAACTGAAGTAGCCTAGTAGGTATATTAACATCTTACACAGTCAACAGCTGAATGTCAAATCAAATAAAGTACAATTCAGTAACATTTCAACAACATTTATTGTCAGTTTTCTCTTTTTAGAGCGCGCCATGTGAAATAACTTCCCTCTGACTCACTTTCTTTTCTGACTGCTGTTTCTCGCCTCGTCCCTCCCCTGTGTGTGCGTCACTCACTCAAGTCCCAGTGCTCATCATAATGCACAGGTCTGATTGGCTGAGTAGCGTCACTTGTGATATTTACAATGCAGGCAAATGGTCTGTGGGCTTCCCAGGCCCCTAAATCGGTACCGTAAAGGAAAGAAATGTTACGCCGATTAAAATAGGACCACATTGTTTATCGGTTATAGGTTCAGGTATGCATAGGACAGCATCTGAGTCCGGATTCGGACCACAGTCTGTCTGTTAGTGACCTCTGCCTTAGAGGATTTGTAATATAACAGTCAATTTTAGTATCATACTATGATTTTAAAATATTTTACCTTTACCTTTCATAATGAATAAGTTCTCTATTACAGCATTTCACTTTATTGAGAGCTAAAGTGTTGATGTGTTTATGTTTCTTTGTTTTCTTTCGCAGTGTCTGTACATCCTGCACTCTGTGTGAGCCTTGTAGCTTCTCTCACGACCCCAGCCACAACCTGGTGAGGGCCAGAACCCCCCTCTCCATCCCCGAACACGGCTCCCCAGCTCCGGACCACAGCAGGTCGACTCCTGTTTCTTAATATCTCACCACACTGCTTTTTCTCTGTCCTTGTTTACATGTAACTGCACACAACTGGCTTGCTCTACTTACCTTAATCACACAGCGGACATTTTCCTTATTATGCCTTGTGTAGGGTGTAATCAGGGTAATTATACACAATTCAGTCAGTAGCTTCTGGAAAGTACTTCTGTAGACTAGGGGTGTCAAATTACTGAGGTAGCTTCATACGGCCAATCACATACTTGCAGTTTATCCTTAAGTCTATAATTTAATTTTCAGGTTTTTGCGGCTAAATGTTTGCATCTGATGGCCGCTGTGGCTGGTTACCCAACATAAGGGCTATAAAATCAGGTCAGACTGATGATTACAATGTCAACAGTGAACTGCATACTAGAGGAAGCCAAACGAAAACCTGACACAGCGTAAACACCAGATCTGTGTATTAGCAGGAACCTGTTAGTACGATACAAATATTATGATTCAGTATATTGCGATACATACTGTAAGCAAGGTGATATTGCAATTTTTCAAATCTGATTTTAGGAAAACTGTCATAGAATTAAAAAAAACTACCACCATATGCATAAAATCTGAGTAAAAGAAAATGTTTTGTGCAATCAGAAAAGTGGGATCTGTACTTGCACTTATCACAGTCCCTGTAACATCCAACATCATAGCACTACTTTTTGTGTGATCCGAACAAAGGATGTAATATTTGTCTATATCAGTTGTTGTAACTCTTTGATCTTGCCATGGAAGAGATTCAGGAGACCGGGGTTTGCAGAAATAATGATGGTTTTATTAAAAAGAGAGCGCTCAGTATACCTGCCTTCGTCTCGCCCCAATCTGAACAGCAGCTCAGACACACAGCTTTTATGCTATGCAACTGACCCCCCACCCCCAATAGAGTCATACAGAACAGCGTGGGACATTTGAATCCTGTCGAAAATACCTTACAGTGTTCTGCCCCAGCACATCCTCCTTAGGGGGTGTTGTAAGGCCATTTGGTGTAATTGTTCAAACCACAAGAACAGAAATGGAGGTGGCTTCTTAAACCCTTCAGCATTAATACTGTTTAACAATGAATAACAATTGAAGCAAAGCAAAGTAAACAGAAAACTAGAAAATACATCAAAATAAAACAATTTCAAACACAGTAAAAAATAAAATGAAAGTTCGTTTTAGCTCCTTTTGTAACTTGGACACTGCAATGTGTCCAAGTTACAAAAGGAGTGTTGTCGGGAGGGTATGGCGTAAGAAGGCTCCGTTATATTCATATAGGTAGCTAACTACTTAAAACCATAGTAGGACATTTTGATAGCTTAATTCTCACAAAGCTGAAGCTGATTTAGGGTATCATACTTATGCTTTTAATGTTGGTGACATTTTCTGACAAGCTTCCTGTTTGCTAGCTTCTTTGAAATTTCGAATTCTCCCATTCCACCTTAAATGGTGCAGTTTTTTAATAATAACTGCTGCACCATTTAAGGTGGAATGGGAGAATTCGAAATTTCAAAGAAGGTGGAGCAGGAAAATTTCTAACAAGAAGCTGGCAAATAGGAAGCTAAGCTAAGTCTCCTTGTCAGAAAATGTAACCAGCATTAAAAGCATAAGTAGGATATTTTGATACTCTAAATCAGCTCATTAGGGGGCAAGTAGCAATTTTAAGCTGGACAATACAAAACACTGTACATTAGTCTAGAATTAAGGCTGAATTACTATAAAAACACAAGTTACTGTGCTGTAGTAATGGTATCAGGCTTGCTTGATAGGAAGGACAAATTATTAGAACATCAGTCTAATTCTTTCCCATTCAGCCATCAGCGTAACGTTAGTAGTCAGCTAGGTTTGCTAATGCCAGTGTTAATGCTGCGCCGTTACACTGCAGTTGTCAGCTCCAGATATGTTGTCACGTAAAGGTCCAGAGGCTTGACATCTGTATAACATACACAGCGTGGGAGATGTACAGATGCCTATTACCAGAGAACCAGCTCTGCTATTACTGCATAACGTGTAAGAAACCCTCAGTTATCAAACTGAAGAACCATTTCACCAAGAACTATTTCAGCATGAAATGGTTCAATGTAGAATAGTTCTAAATAGAACTGTTTGATTTACAAAAGAACCCTTGAAGAACCTTCATCCATCCTTTTTAATAGGGTATGGGTTGAAAACACCAGTAAAATAGGCCAAAAAATAGGCAAGCTAATAAACACCCATTTCACAACCTCAGTATTCTCTTTATCTGTCACAAAAACCACTTGAACGTGCACGATAGGTTAACGAGTTCCTTCTTGCACAAAACTAACGCCTCACTTGTGCTTCAAAGGAGAGTTACTATGTACTGTATACACTTTGGTGCTAAAAAAACAAAAATATCACGTTAAAATTCTCTCGTAAGTGCAGAGAAAGTGTGACTGCAATTCTGAAATGAACCACTAGAGGCGTACTTGTAAGGAGCTGATAGTGCGGGTCTGAAAGTGCAGTACTGCAGGTCTGCAGCTGGATACTTCCTGCTTGTTCACGTTACGAGTGGAAGAGTCTAGTGGCTGAAGATATATTACAGCACTGCCATCTAGTGGTCAGGGGTTGAAACACAGCACAAAATGAACCACAAATCTTTGTATGTAAACCGTTGGTTAAAAATTGATGCTGTGCTTTTGAGAATCGATGCTGTATCACAAAACATAATATTGCAGTACTCAAGTGTGTTGATATTTTCTTACACCCCAAAAAGCACACTGAATGGTCATGACTGTGATTTAGTTACAGTTACAACTTTCAGATTTAGACCAACAGTTAGTTAAATCTGCCTTTGTGGATTCATGACATTCATTCATAGAATTATCAAACAAATGAACTGAGAACACAGAATGAACTAGTTGTTTTGACAGTTTTACTCACAATCTAAGGGAACATCAGTGCTGTCATCATAAGAGTTCCATATAAACCTACTACTGCTTTACTACTACAAATTATAATTAGTGGAGTTTATTGAAAAGCTCTAATAAGCCCATCTCAGAGTTTTTAGGGTACAAAGTAAAAAATAAAATAACAGACTCAAGTCCACATGTTTAGGTTCTACAGGCGGGGGGACCGGAGTTTTCGGAAGGCGGAGAAACAGCGCTTAAAGGCGGAGAAGCGTCAGCTGAAGGCGGAGGTGAAGGAGATCAGGAAGCAGCTGAGGATGGAGCGGAGGGGGCTGCAGTGGGGATCAGCTGGAGACGGTAGCTCCTCTCCGGTTCTGCTGCAGCCTCGAGCCACACAGGCCAACAGCCCGGAGTACGTAGGCTTCCAGTGCATTGTCTGATAACACGGCCGTCCAGTCTTATCAACAAGCAGGCCGTAAAATGAATTATGACTATTTCTGGTAAATGAACAAACATGAGCTCAGGTATAAATAAAGAAAAATGTAGCATACGAATCCTTTAAAACATCAGAATCTAGTTGATATGTGCGATTGTAGCGTGTGTTTGTGGAGCCTGTTTAGGCTTAAGAATCATCTGAGTTTCTGTTTGTTTATTTTTGTGCCCTTCAGGCGTCCTAAGCGTCCGTGTCCTCTGGCTGTGCCCGCTATGACGGCTCTGCTGCTGGACGAGAACCTGCCAGACGGATCACGTCTGCGGCCAGGGACCAAGTTCATAAAGTACTGGAAGATGAAGAACAGCGGCAGAATGTCCTGGAGCTCAGAGACCAAAGTATAAACACATATAAAACCTGTTTATGTTCTTCTCAACAGTTTATTTTACTCAGTTAACAAGGCCTCATTTAACTTATCCACACTCCGCTGCTTTTTCATAGTACACGAATACAGAAATTTATCGATTTAATATATTTAATTCAGTATTTAAATTTTTTTTTGGCACCAAAAGTTATTACCTTATAAATAATATTCTGTATTTAATCATTTACTGTATATTCTTTATAAGTTATCTGCTTCAGTTCTGATCACCATGATTTAGATGTGAGGCATTCTGGATGTTAATATTAGATCTTCATTCTTGGGGATCTACAGCTTTCTGGGTCATTGTAGAATCTTCTACAGCTCTGTTAATCATTCTAGGCATTACTATTTCATGTTTTTTAGTTTCCTTCTTCCTTTCCTTTTCTTCTATTTAAATCTATACAGTTGTGGATCAGTAGCAATTGTTTAATAAATTTATCTGCAACATTTTTAAAATAGTTTTTAAAACCGTGATCCCAAACTTTTTGCTGTTGTGTAATAGAACTTATGTTAGCATGTTTGCAAACTCATCATTGTTTCATTTAGCTACAGTAACAGCCCAACACTGCAACATACCACTTAAACTGCTTAGATGCAAATAATTTTTTACATTTTAATACATTTTGCTGCAATTTATCAAGTTCTAAAATTAGTTTATCTAGTTTGAACTGGATTTTTGCCAGTGCTCTGTAAAGTTTGTCTGACCAACAACAGTTCATATAAAAGAACACATTTGTGGGCGGAGCATTGACAGGGCAGATACCTCAAAGTGTGTATATCACATGTCTCCTTAGTACACCGATCAGGCATAACATTATGACCACCTCCTTGTTTCTCCGCTCATTGTCCATTTTATCAGCTCCACTTACTATATAGGTGCACTTTGTAGTTCTACAGTTACAGACTGTAGTCCATCTGTTTCTCTGATACTTTGTTAGCCCCCTTTTACCCTGTTCTTCAGTGGTCAGGACCCCCACAGAGCAGGTACTATTTGGGTGGTGGATCATTCTCAGCACTGCAGTAACACTGACGTGGTGGTGGTGTGTTAGTGTGTGTTGCGCTGGTCTGAGTGGATCAGACACAGCAGTGCTGCTGGAGTTTTTAAACACTGTGTCCACTCACTGTCCACTCTATTAGACACTCCTATCTTGTTAGTCCACCTTGTAGATGTAAGGTCAGAGACGATAGCTCATCTGCTGCTGCACAGTTTGTGTTGGTCATCCTCTGGTCCTTCATCAGTGGTCACAGAACGCTGCTCACAGGACGCTGTTGGCTGGATATTTTTGGTTGATGGACTATTCTCAGTCCAGCAGTGACACTGAGGTGTTTAAAAACTCCAGCAGCACTGCTGTGTCTGATCCACTCAGACCAGCACAACACACACTAACACACCACCACCACATCAGTGTTACTGCAGTGCTGACAATGATCCCCCACCCAAATAGTACCTGCTCTGTGAGGGTCCATGGGGGTCCTGGGGTAAAAGGGGGCTAACAAAGTATGCAGAGAAACAGATGGACTACAGTCTGTAACTGTAGAACTACAAAGTGCACCTATATAGTAAGTGGAGCAGATAAAATGGACAATGAGGGTAGAAACAAGGAGGTGGTCAGAATGTTATGCCTGATCGGTGTATATAATACACAGTAATCGCTGAGTTGTCCTGTCTCTGTTCCTCTGCAGCTGAAGTTTATGTGGGGGAACCTGGCGGTGGGTTCAGGTGAGCGGTGGAGGGAGGTTCCAGTGCCCACGCTGCAGCCGGGTCAAGTGGGCGTGGTCAGTGTGGCACTCTGCGCTCCAACTCTGGAGGGCACCTACACCTCCCACTGGCGCCTGGCACACAGAGGGGAGCAGTTTGGGCCACGGGTTTGGTGTAGCATCGTGGTGGACCCCCATGCTCCTACTGCCATCTCTGCTGACGGCCTGCTTGTCTCCCCCTGCGTCACTCCTCACGTAAGTCTACTGGGTGGAGTATCTCACCAGACTGAATAGACCTGGGTGATTAAATGAGAACAAAAATGATCAAAATCAGCCTTTTTAAAATCTCAGTATTGGTAATTTCTGGTATTGTTAGTGAAATTATTATGACACGATTTGAACTTTAAACAGGTGCTACTTAAGTACAGTAAGTGGCGCTCTGTGCTTTTTACTTTGTATACTAAGAGGAAAAAGAAGTCTAGCCGTTCACTCACAACAGCACAAACCAGCAGGACAGTCATAGGCCAGAGCTTTAAGTTTTCCTCAGGGTTCAAATACTATTCAGACTTAAAATTGAGTATTAGAAAATACAAGCAACAATTGTTAAAAGTAGACGACAAAAAAAAACACTATTTTGGCCGTGTCACCCAGTGCCAAGCATGATTTGTCTGTGCTCCACCATTTAAATGTTCTAACAGGTTCCATGTACCACAGAAGGACATGCAGAGTTAAGTCCTGTTCTTGTTCTTCAGGAGAAATCGGCTCGTACGCTGGAGAGAGAGGAGAAATGTCGCGCTGCCTCCAGAGAACAGTTGCTCATTACAGTGGACCAAGACTGTGACCAGGAATTCTACATTCCATCTGTAGACCTACTTACAGCACAGGTGCGCATTATCATACGTGGTAAACGTCGCTGCCTTAATGCCATAATATACCGAAAAAATCCAGAATTTGTAGGCACATCTATTTCTAAGGTCAATCAAGCTCTGTATTTTTGAGAGAATCCAAATCAAACAATGGAAAGTAGATGTTTGAGTCAGTTGAATCAGTTACAAGGTGGATTCTTTTAGCAGCTGCTTTTTGAAACTGAAGCATTTAGACAGTATTGCAGTGCTAGTGTGTCTGCATTTCTGAACAGTGCACATACCTATAGAATTCCCCTTCCCCACCAGAGCGCTGTGAAAAAGTGTCATTTATAATGTAAATCAATATAATGTATGTTTTTACATCGTAAGACAAAATCTAAGATTTAACAGAGAAACATCAGTGAAATGCAAATTTATGTAACATGGGTAGCAGCCAAAAATTTGATTGTGTACTTTTTACTGCTTTTTTTTTTTGGCTGTATGGTTCAGAAAACAGAGCATTTCCATGATCAGTGCTGCTGTGTTTGCATAAAATTGTTTAAGCAGTTTCTCCCAAAACCCAAGATACAGTTAGAGGCAATAAGTACCTGTGAAGGAACAGTGTATGTGCAAAAATAAAACAGCGAAATCTATTTTTGATCCAAACGTGAGATCAGCAATCGGCTAGTTTTGGCCGATCGGTGTCTCACGTTTATGAGGTAAATAAGGTGAGACAGCTGAGAGGACTCCGCAGAATTATACATGACTGATTGTGGTAAATTACAACTTGTGTCTTACTTTTGGTTTGATTTATGTTATTTAAATAGGCAGCTGATTTCTCATTTAAGTGTCAAATTTCTGTCTGGCTAAAATGGTAAAACCTTTAACTTTTAATGATCTTAACAACAAATCATTAAACAAATAGATAAAGCAACTTAATGTGGGAGAGCTTTTCCCTTTGATTTCTTTAAATGTTGAAGTGTTGAAGGTTTTGTGTGTAAATTTGCAGGCAACATTTTTAAAGAAAGTCAGTATTGATCCACTCAGCATTGATGGCTTTAAACAGCTGAAAAGCTTTGCAGAGCTAGTTTGTGTTTAATGTATGACCAAATATTCTTTATAGGGTTTAAATCTGGACTCTGACCGGCCAGAACCATCAGTGAAAAACTATAGATCTCCCATACAGTGTGAGGGGAGAAAAAAGCTGATTAGAAACAGACACAAAAATCAACTATTGGCTGATTGGGCTGTGAAGTAATGAGAATTAGAGATAGAAATTCATGATTAGTGCGTCCACTGCAATGACGTATCTGTTTTCTGGCCACAGGCTGTGTTTTTTTAGATAACACTATTGCTTGAATCAGTGGACTCGAGTTCACTGAGCAGCATCTCTGGTCTGTTTTTATCTGCAGGACTTGCTGTCATTTGAGCTGCTGGACATCAACATTGTTCAGGAGCTGGAGAATGTACCAAACAACACCCCAGCAGGTAATGTTTTAAAACCTCACACAGTAGGATAGCGACAGGATAAGCAGCGAACAATAGGTTAAATTTAAAGGAGCACATCAACAAATCAATAAATTGATTAGCCACAGCTCCTGAGTGGCGCAACCGTCTAAGCATTTACTGTGTCATCAGGAGATCGCGAGTTCGATCCCCGGTGATGCTACAGCCGTCCATGGCCATGAGTCTAAGAGAGCACAATTGGCCTCGCTCTCTCTGGGTGGGTAGGATGGCCCCCCTGTCTCCCCCATTACTCAACATCATGCTATTCAGCGCAGACGTCTGTTAGCTGGTGTAGCAGATCTGGCAGTTGGTGCTTTCCTCCAGGTGCATACGGCTGGCCAGTGACGTTGCGTGTGCAACAGTTCGAAAAGATGTGGCCTGTGTTAGCCTTCTCCCTCCTAGCGCTGGGGGTATCGTGTGATTGGGGGAGTCCTTACTAGTGGGTGGAATTGGAGACGGCTAAATTGGGGATGGATGGATGGATGGATGGATGGATGGGTGGATGGATGTTAAAACTTAAGCATAGCAACTTTAGATATCTTTGACTTGGAAAAATGTCTGGTTCCGTTGGCTTGACATTAAAAGAAAAGTAGGTTATTTCCTTCTCCCATAAAGCTACCATTTAGAGATACAATGTTTTTCTTCCAACAACACCGATATATATAAAAAAAATAACACTTCTAGGTTTGATTCTCAAAAGGTTAATAGAAATGTTAAGGTATGTTTGTTGTAAGAGGTCAGGAGGTGGGCTGCGCAGGGAATACCAGTGATCTTTAATCTAACAGATTAAGATGATAACCACTGTAATCTCAACTTTCATCTCCTTTATGTATGCAGATATTACTCCATGCATATCTCCTCTGCCCCATGATACACTCCTTCAGGAGAAACCAACTCTGGGGCTCATCCAGGAGGAGGCAGAAGCCCAAGGAGTCAATAGCATTCTGGGTAAGTGGAACTAAGCAGCACTGCTGTGTCTGATCCACTCAGACCAGCACAACACACACTAACACACCACCACCACGTCAGTGTTACTGCAGTGCTGAGAATGATCCACCACCCAAATAGTACCTGCTTTGTGAGGGTCCATGGGGGTCCTGACCACTGAAGAACAGGGTAAAAGGGGGCTAACAAAGTATCAGAGAAACAGATGGACTACAGTCTGTAACTGTAGAACTACAAAGTGCACCTATATAGTAAGTGGAGCTGATAAAATGGACAATGAGCGTAGAAACAAGGAGGTGGTCGGAATGTTATGCCTGATCAGTGTATATATGTATACATAACATATATACCATACATGTAACCTAACCTGCAGAAACATCCCGTTTTGAATTAGCTGCAAAAGTTGCAAACAAATCCAGTCAAATTTTGTTGAAGAAAAATATTGGGTTAAATATTGGGTAAAAATAAAATAAAAAATATTTAGTGTCTTAACTTTTACACAGGCCACATTTTATGTTTTTTTTTATTTTTTATTTTTTTTTCACAGAATAGCCAGTCAGAACACAGCATATTTATGTAGGTCAGTCTTAAAGGCATAGTAACAAAAACACCGTTTCATAATAAGCAGTTGGAAAAGGATAAAACACAAGACAAATACATGTAGTGTATGTATAGAAGGTGTATAATAAAGGCCTTTATAGACATGTATAACACTATATGTATTGTTTCTAAACAATAAATCAGTTGTCATTGGCCTTAAATGGTTAATAAACTGTAATTATGCTCTAACTGTACAGCAGTTTTATGCACTACAACCCTTTCTGTGTGTTCCATCAGAAGTGACCCAAAGCCCGGAGTTAGGAGGAGTTCCAGCCCAGGAGAAAGGAGAGGAGAACATCATCAGCCGTCAATTTGTGAGCGAGTCAGTGATCCGCTCTCTCACACTGGGAGAGGTGTTAGACCACAGTGTCCTTCACGGGAGATGCCCCACTAAAGGTCTGTGTACCATTAAGGATGGGCAGTGTGGCAAAATATAACCTCACAATACTTGATTGAATTTTTATAATTATAATAATAATATTTAGATTTTCTGAGGTTTGTGAACTAATTGAAATGTGTTAATTAATTGAATATGTGCAAAAATAAACTTTTTATGAAGGAACTGGAGAAAAAATGAAACAGTTTATCAAAACAGTCAATAGAAAAAAGAAGAGTCACAGATAAGACAGAAAATGGATAGACTGGTTCAACGTCAGCGAAGGAGACCGACAAGGCTGCCCCCTGTCCCCCCTTCTTGTTCAATCTGTTTGCAGAACATATAATAAGAGAAGTGGGACTATTACAAAAGATGAAAAGTAAAAAGATGGGACTTCAGCTCAATAAGAAGACAAAGGTTATGACAACAGGACGGACCACTAACTTTATTGATGGAGAACATGTAAAAAAAGGTGGACAGCTTTTTGCTTACTTGGATCAATTTTATGCAACAGAAGGTCCAGCAGTCAAGAAATTGACACAGATTGGCATTTGGCAGCAGCAGAAGGAGCTTCAAACGATCTTCAGATGAAATGATGTGTCTCTACAATCAGAGATCAGAATTGTCCAGGCTGTGGGCTTCTCTGTGGTTCTTTATGGATGTGAAAGCTGGGCAATAAAGCTTGACAGGAATACTGATGCCGTTGAACTTTGGTGTTGGGTTGGTGAAGACATTTGAGAGATCCTTGGCAGGAAAAGAAAAGTGGATCCTCGACCAAATCCTCTCAGTTGAAGCCTGGGAAACCACATGAAGCTCTTATTTTGGACATATTTGCAGAAGAACCAGTTTATTGTAAAGGATAATTATGTTTGGAACAGTTGCAGGTAAAAGAAGAAGAGGACAGTCAGCAGCAAGACAGATGGAGACAATCAGAGGAATCATGAACAAGTGATTAAGAAGTCTGAAGGATCTTAAGAATAATTAAAAATAGTAATGGGCTGCCATCCAAGTATCAGTATCTAAATCTTTTTTTAATGATCTATGCAATTATTAAGTATTCTATGAGCACTGACTATATACATCATATACTCAGAAAAGCATATTGTGATGAAATTTACGACAGTAATGATACCAGTAATCCACAGTTCCCATTACCACGCTGTTAATCTTGTGTCTGTTTCTTTTTCCAGTGTTGCGTCCAGCACCCCAGGGCTCAGTGTCTCTTTGTGAGAGGAAAGCAGAGACAGTTTCAGAAAACAGCCCAGATGATAGCCCTGTCTCAGATCCACTTAAAGAGGAGACAGGAGTGATCCCAGCCCCGGCTCGGCTCCACACAGACACAGAGGCAGTTCCTGATCCCACTCCACTCCTGACGGTTCCTACTGAGCAGATCACCGCAGGTAACAGAACGATGGCATTTACACTACTGTTTAAAAGTTTGAAATCACTTATTTCATTAATATAAAACAAAGAAAGTTTTGTTGCAGTATAAATTGATTCCAGTATGATGGTATGACTTTGACTTCATAGCTTTCAAAGAATTTGCAGACTGGAGACATGTTAGATGTTAGAGCTGTAGATCAAGGGTTCTCAACCTTTTCCACCCCAAGGCCCACCTGTGTGTAACTACAAAGCATAGCGGCCCGCAGGAACACTAACTTTTTTAAATACAACTTTCTTTTTAAATTTTTAAATGCTGACACGGAAAACCTGAAAATTTTGGTCTTAGAAATATCAGATCAGCCATTCTGGGTGTCAGTAGGTTTGCGGAATTTGCAGGTACAGTTGTAGTGATGTTACAAAGGGGGGGAAAAAAGGGAAAAAAGGAATAAAAATGTACAAGGTAGATCTGGGCTGTGATTTGGAGTTGCAGTCCATCACGTTTTCACTGAAAATGCTCCACTGGCTTTCCCAAAAGAGTAATTGTTGGTCTTGAGATGTGCCTAGTTTTGAGGGATTTATTTGAAACCTAACTCCACTCACCGGGCTTTTGGATTACTGTCGTCACAATCAGCAGTAATGATGAATCTTACTTGATATCTACTTATTTGTCAATGGTTTATCAGTTTAAGTTTAACTACAGGTCGGTGATGCTCGGACAACTATGTGCATTGAATGCTATCCATCAGTTTAATCTTTCTGCTGTTATTTTATGGCTCAGCTGTTGTTTTTAACAGCAGCTTGTGCTGAGAGTCTGTAAAGAGTCAGTGGTTAAAACGGTCAGTATGCTGTCTACGGCTCTAACGTGCCTCTAGAAGAGAAGGAAAGCCAGCTCTATTAATGAATACCACGTATTCCACTCATGTTTATGACTTACAGTGACGTTACCAGCCCACTACAAATTAGTGCCTCCCCCTGAATACAGGCCTGTGGACCACTAGAGGAAGCTTCACAGCCCAGTGGTGGTCCATGCCCCACAGGTTGAGAAACCCTGCTCTAGATGACTCAGTAAGCTGTAAAGTGCAGGTTCCTAACCATGTTAGGGTTGCTTAGTTAGATAAGGTGTGCTGGGAGCAGGGAAACACTAAAATGTGCAGGGCAGGGGGTACTCAAACACCTTGTATTTCAGAAGTGGTAATGAAATCTTGAGGTGTTTCTTGTGAGTAGGCTTCTCAGAAAAAAGGTGCTGTCACTGGGGTGGTACTCCTCTTTTGACTGGCGTGGTACCTTAAATGGTACGTCCTCAGTCCCTTTAAGTAGGCAATATAATTGTACCATAATTCATTGAAATTACATTTTTAAGTTAATTTGACTCTGTACACCATGCTTTGCCTCCCAGACATTTTATTTTAAGGTATTGTTTAAAAGTATTAGGTCATGAAAATGTACAAATATGGGAAAAACATATTGAAGGTACACAGTTTAACCTTTAGGATGTTGTTGTACTTTGTAGGGTATATTTACATTATTTGGACCTAGATGAACAAAAATGTCCAGTACCTGACAGTGTGTGCTCAGTGACTGTTAACTGAGCTCCCACAGTGATTCATTTATTGATTTATTCCACGCTAAACCTCGCTAGTATTCCCGTTATTAAACTTTTACACTGTTAGGTGATGTGATATCCTACATTAAATGTTTAACCATTTACCACTGCTGCTTTTCACACATAAAGACAGATATTTACAGTGAATTATTTATTGTGTAATGAATTCTTTTTGTTCCCCAAAACATCTAAAATACTCTGTGGTATCTAGTTTTAAAATGTATTCATATAATACATATCGCTGTTGTCAGAAGAAAACCTTGTATCTCCAAAATAACTTTACAGGAGAAGGAAAAAACCTACTTTACTTTCAATGTAAGTCAATGGGTCCAGACTTTTTCCCAAGTCATTTTGTGTTTCTTTTGGTCAATTCATCATGAAATTTACACACAATGTAAAGGACAACAGGCATTTTCAAATTATGTCAAAAACTGAAAAATGACAAAAATTGAGATAAGAGGATTTCTTATGACAACAGTGATATAATGCAAGTTGTTATTGATTTGAAAATAATTATTAATATGATTTTATTTTTGTAACAATCACACTGTGCCCCCGTGTTTTAGATGAAGGTAACGAGTCTGACATTGAGCAGATCTTGGTGGATCCAGCCAGTGGTGAGCGGTTCGAGGAGGAGGAGTTGGACAGCAGGAAGAAGAAGGAGGAAGAAGAGGAGAAAACGAAAGATGAAGGTAGATCTGCATGATATGGGGAAAAAGTGCTAGAACTGCTTAGCCACATACTTTAGAGCAGATGGTGCCACTTTTATTTGATATATAGGTAGGTGTGTGTGTGTGTGTGTGTAAATATTTATATATATATATATATGTTATTAGTTTAATTAGTAATCCGGTCTTCCACACTGTTTAATCCATTACAAATAACAAAACAATTTATTTTGCAGCCTCAGAAGGAGGGAAAGAGACTCGTAGCAGAACATCCTCGGCCTCGTCTGAGGATTACATCATCATCCTGCCGGACTGCTTCGACACCAGCCGGCCACTCGGAGAGTCTATGTACAGCTCGGCGCTGTCGCAGCCTGGTGATGACTTAGCTGGAGTGGATCAGCTGGACACAGAGATCCACTCACCCAGCAGTGCATGTGTTAGCGCCGATGCTAACGACATGCTGTGTGCCTCGCAGACTCTGGACTCTGTTCCCCTCACTCCAGTGATTGTAGCTGCACCCAGACCCTCTGGAAAGTCCAGGTAAGTTAAAAAAAAAACAACACAATCTGTAGATGCCATACACTTCCTGTAGTGTATTACAGTCTGTCAGAGTGACTGTGTGGATCATATGAACATTATAGAGGCTTTTTAAATGAAACAGTAGAAACCATATCGCCCCCTACACTTCCTGTAGTGTATTACAGTCTGTCAGAGTGACTGTGTGGATCATATGAACATTATAGAGGCTTTTTAAATGAAACAGTAGAAGCCATATCGCCCCCTACACTTCCTGTAGTGTATTACAGTCTGTCAGAGTGACTGTGTGGATCATATGAACATTATAGAGGCTTTTTAAATGAAACAGTAGAAGCCATATTGCCCCCTACACTTCCTGTAGTGTATTACAGTCTGTCAGAGTGACTGTGTGGATCATATGAACATTATAGAGCTTTTTAAATGAAACAGTAGAAGCCATATCGCCCCCTACACTTCCTGTAGTGTATTACAGTCTGTCAAAGTGACTGTGTGGATCATATGAACATTATAGAGGCTTTTTAAATGAAACAGTAGAAGCCATATCGCCCCCTACACTTCCTGTAGTGTATTACAGTCTGTCAGAGTGACTGTGTGGATCATGTGAACATTATAGAGGCTTTTTAAATGAAACAGTAGAAGCCATATCGCCCCCTACACTTCCTGTAGTGTATTACAGTCTGTCAGAGTGACTGTGTGGATCATATGAACATTATAGAGGCTTTTTAAATGAAACAGTAGAAGCCATATCGCCCCCTACACTTCCTGTAGTGTATTACAGTCTGTCAGAGTGACTGTGTGGATCATATGAACATTATAGAGGCTTTTTAAATGAAACAGTAGAAGCCATATCGCCCCCTACACTTCCTGTAGTGTATTACAGTCTGTCAGAGTGACTGTGTGGATCATATGAACATTATAGAGGCTTTTTAAATGAAACAGTAGAAGCCATATCGCCCCCTACACTTCCTGTAGTGTATTACAGTCTGTCAGAGTGACTGTGTGGATCATATGAACATTATAGAGGCTTTTTAAATGAAACAGTAGAAGCCATATCGCCCCCTACACTTCCTGTAGTGTATTACAGTCTGTCAGAGTGACTGTGTGGATCATGTGAACATTATAGAGGCTTTTTAAATGAAACAGTAGAAGCCATATCGCCCCCTACACTTCCTGTAGTGTATTACAGTCTGTCAGAGTGACTGTGTGGATCATATGAACATTATAGAGGCTTTTTAAATGAAACAGTAGAAGCCCTATTGCTCCCTGCAGAGTGTTGAACTGTTCATTGAGAGCCTGCTGGTATTCTTTTGTACTGGCACAGCTTTTGAATAATTTGGAATAACTCATGCAAACTCTCTCTGATTATTTCATCATATTATTCAGTTACACAGTATATTTCTATATACAGGGAACATGATAGTTTGGGGTAACATACTTATACTGTGTTTTGTGTGGATGCCTTACCTGCAGCTCAGAAACGGATGAACAGCCAGAAGAGCCACAGCAGCCTGAGAGCAAAGAGAAAGAGGAGCAGGAACAGGGTACACACATACACTCACTGGCCGCTTTATTAGAAACACCTACCTTGTGCTTCCACTAACTGACCACTTTATTAGAAACACCGGCCTCCACTACATAGGTGTAGAATTACAGACAGTTGTCCAGCTGTTGCTGCAGAGTGGAAAACCCCCCACCACCTCAAACTTCTGTTCTGATAGCAGAACTGCGGTCGTCTTGATATTGTTTGGGTTGTGGTCCATTCTCAGCACCGCAGTGACATTCATGATGGTCATAGTAGTGCTGGTACGAGTGTATCAGACACAGCGGTGTTCCTGGAAACTGACCAATGATGAAGAGCTAGAGGACAACTAACACAAAAAAAGATACAGTCTCTACCTGTACACCAGCAAAGTGGATCTACAAGAGAAGAGTTTCTCATAAAGTGGCCATGGAGAGCATCCAGACATTTTAATGCTTTATCATCACTCGTACACTTTTATGTTTATATGTTCTGGTGGCTTTGTGTTTGTAGATTCTGTGTCCAGTCCCTCAGAGCCTGGGAGCTCTTGTCCAGCTGACTCTGAGATACAGGAACTCAAGTAAGATGTGTATGATGTGTGTACTGTGTGAAGGTGAGGTAGGGAGCTTCTCAGTATCAGACTCTGAGAAACTGAGAGTGTGGGCTGCACGATTCTTGGTTAAATGGAAAGCACAATTTATTTATATTATTTTATTTTTTTTAGAATTGTTTTTGCTTTTGAAATCACAATTCTGAACATTCTTCAGCACCAATATTGGAAAGAATAAAATGCATGTTTACTAAATTCTATGCACTCTTAAAAGAGATGGTTTTTCAAGGGTTCTTTAGTAAAGAAAATAGTTCTATATAAAACCATGTACATTCAAAGAACTCTTTGCATGATTAAAGCGTTCTTTGCATTGGGAAAGGGTTCTTCAGATTGATGTAGAATGTGCTATAAATAGTTCTATATAGAACCGTTTTGAAAGTGTTATAGCACCAGAAAGGGTTCTTCTGTTTCTTCAAGCTTGACATTGTCACAACAGCAGAACGCTTTCTGCCACCATTTTCAAAAAGGTTCTATATAGAACCATCTACAGCACATTCTCCATAAATCTGAAGAATCATGATACAAAGAACCCTTTATGTTACATATGCCTTTTTTCCATTTTCCTGACAAACAAATAACTTGTACTTAGTGGTGTTTTTGACAGGAAATAAAAAATGAAGGGTCTCTGACTTTTTGCACCTTTAGTACCGTAAATCGTTTTAATTGATAAATTGAATACTGTGCTAATTATGGCTGATGCAGGTTCCGTCTCCTTCTCTGTCTCTCTTTGACCCCTCCTCTCAGAGCGAACAGTATAACTGGAGGTTTAGTGAAAGGTGCTCTCTCCGTAGCTGCGTCCGCCTATAAAGCTCTGTTTACGGGGCAGCCTGGCCCTGAACAGGTGAGCGCTCATGATGAGAATCAGTTTCTTTTGTTTGTCATGTCCTTTTCTTTGGATAGAGGTGCAAAACTACTGCTTCTTACAGCAGACTGATGGGTGGTGGCATCAAATTAGCACATAGTAAAAGTCTTTAAATCAAATTATTTCAGTTTAGGTATGATGATAGTGCGTAGCTTTCTTTTACAGTAAGAAACTACTGATATATATATATATATATATATATATATATATATATATATATATATATATATATATATATATATATATATATATATATCTCAACAAAAATGGAGACACAAAAAACCCACTTTACTTTTAATGTCTGTCAATGGAACCAGACTTTTTGCCAAGTCATTTTGGGTCATTTCTTTTTGGTCAATTCTTCATGAAATTTACACACAATATAAAGTGCAACAGACATTTTCGAATTATTATTTGAAACATAATTATTACTTAAAGTATTTTAAAGGCTAGATTTTTTTTCCAGTAAAATATTTTTGTAATCTTTGAAAGTCAATGCAAGGTTTTTTTATTGATCAAGGGTGAGTTTCCCAAAAGCATCAAATTACATAGATGATTCTGAAATGGTTGTGCGAGCCTCACACTGAACACTCTCTCTACCAGTCAAGGTGATCGTAGCACCAAGATGCTTGTGGGAAACCCAGCCCAGTTAAGTCAGTTCTTATTGTTTGGTCCATAATGAAAGCCTTAAAATCAAATAATTTGCTTTTATTTATAAATTAGGTCTTGCTTGTATTTAAAGCTCTTAAAGGCCACATTTTACTAATCTATCAAAGTATTATAGCCCGTCTAGACGACTTCACTCAGCTAAAGCAGGCTTACTGCAAACTCCAAAGATCTCTTACACCTCTGGAACAGCATTTAGGCCATGGTATTTTATCTCTCCAGTATTTTCTTATATTTATGATCTTGTAACTGAAATGAAAAGTACTGTATGAGTACAGATTTGTTATTGTAGTGACTTTCTTACAAACCCAAAAAACTACAGAACCTAGTAAGTAAGTGGTTTGTGTTGGTGGAGTTTCATTGATCATTGCACTCATTGTTGTTAAACAGAAATTGAAACACCAAATATCTATACCTTAATACTTTAGATGTGACACTTCTTTTATTGTCCATTCATAAGGTGAGCAGATATTTCCTAACCAATTTCGTAACCACTGTTGCTCTGAACTAGATCAAAAATTCTTGCTTTAAGTCTCAAAACATTGGCTTCCTTGCCAACACCTGCCTAGAACTATAGGGCCAGTTTTATTCTTTACAGCTTCTTTATTCTGTAACAGCTACTGTTGTTGTTTTTGTTGTTGTTGTTGTTATTATTATGTGTTCCGGCAGGTAAGTTGCTGGTGTGAAAACGAGCCACAGTATCATGTTTGTAAATGACTCTTTCTCCTCTCTGTAGCTTCCTGAGGAAGCTGCCACTCAGGATGCCATGATGGCCGTCCTGGTGGAGATGGGCTTCGGCGACCGAGCGCTGAACCAGCGTTTGCTGCAGAAACACGGCCGGAACCTTCTGGACGTGGTCAACGAACTGGTGCACATGCAAGACAACGACTGGTACTCCACCCGCTACTGACACCGCTGTAGTACTCCGTCTACTTTCTCTCCGTCTCCCCTTCTGTGTGCATTTGTTATTGACCGTGATCCAGAGTGTCTCCATGATCCACATCAAAGGGAAATTCCACTGATTTGTCTGAATTAATGCACCTAATTAAATGGTTTTGATGTAAACGGAGTCATTCAGAGTGGTTTGGTGTGAAACGCTTCATTCTAGAGAAACTTACCGAGTCAGAATTGTTCACAGTGGTGGTGATAGGAACCAGACGTCCACCTCTAAAAGCTCCCTCACAGAAAGTTACTACATGAAATGGTTATGAATTCACTGCCTGATGACTGAGACACTGTTTTACGATAATTTTGAGAAGATCTAAAATGTATTTTTTAAATCCATTCATGGTGGAGGGATACATGCAGGGTGTTGTGAGGCAAAATAGTCCCCAAAGAAAACGTATTATTTCAGATTTTCCACTATTTTCCATCATCAACATTCCATATAAACTCAGAGGACTCGTGTAGGTTCACTGGTGGTTCTGGATAGTAAATAAAATGTCTATATTTGTGTTGTAGTCATGGCGACCCCTGGTTCCTATCACCACCACTGTAAAGACATCTGAACCATTGCACACCAAACCACTCTGAATCTCTCTGATTACATGTCACACACTGAATTATGCCGAAATTTGGAAAAATCATTGGAATTCCCATTAAGGGTACAGGTGAGGGATCTTAAGTAGAGATTTATGATCAGCATTTATTTCCTGAACACTAGTGTTCGTCAGAGCCGAATGTCGGAGGGCATTTATAATCACATCATCATCACAGAGGGCCACAGTTATGCAGTTAAGGGTGTGGGACTCTGTTGAGAGGAAAATCAGTGGAAACACTGAAACCATTATTATCAAGAAATTTTATTAAAATTAACCATAATTAGATGTTTCACCCCAAGAAATTGTGTGATTGCAGAGGCAAGAAATGCACTAAAATTGCTCTTTGAATTTATATGACCCAGATGTCATTAAACTGTTACAACGGTCACTAAAAGTCGGTAAGCTGAAAGACAGCGCTTTATTTATTTATTTATTATTATACACTTACTGGCCACTTTATTAGGTACCAACCCATCTATACTTATTGTCCATTTTATCAGCTCCACTGACCGTGTAGTTTCACTTTGTAGTTCTACAGTTACAGACTGTAGTCCATCTGTTTCTCTGCATACTTTGTTAGCCCCCTTTTACCCTGTTCTTCAGTGGTCAGGACCCCCATGGACCCTCACAGAGCAGGTACTATTTGGGTGGTGGATCATTCTCAGCACATAGTGAGTTGAGAATATGTCCCACAAATATCCAGAAGTGTCCTGTGGCCAGAAACTGACCATTTGATGAATGTAGTAAAGAGATGCTAACTAGAGTTTTACATTTTTCTGAGCAGGTGGACAGAAAGTCTCCTGTCCCAAACAGAATTTACAGTGTCTCAAACTAATTTTCCTTATAAAGATGTGTGTTTGTTTGTTTGTTTTTTAATATAAATAAGCACACATACAAAATGTTTTTAGGACTAACGAAAATCAGTCCTAAAGAAATTTGGCCAGAGTATTCCTTGTCAGAAACAGCAAAAATGGAAAGGTAGGGAGGGGCAGCATACCTGTTGACAGGTGTTCTAAGGTTGCAAGGTAGCTAGCATGTTAGTGAGATTGAATGAGCTAACTTTTTAGCTTGTGTGTTGAATAGTGACCTCACTGGCCGTCGCTTCGCTTTTGAACTTTAAATTTGTTGTTTAATCAGCGCCTCTGTTGCTGTAGACTATTGATAAATTTCTTTACTAAGGTTCTGGCTACTTGTTTCCAATCACCTTTAAATCTCGACCAACACCTTCACTGGACCAGCCCATCGTTTGACCTGCTAAGAAGTCTTCTGTCCTGCTAGATCCAGGAATCTAAATACTCTTGAGTATCTTCAGAAGCGATAGACAAATAAAATGTATAATAATAATAATAATTATTATTTTTTATTATTATGTGGACAACTGATGTTTTCAGAAAATGTTTCAAGGCTAAAAAGCATCCGTCTGTAGTTTAGTCTCATTGTAAGCTTCTGTGCAACAGCGAACAGCGTATCGGCTTGTTTGCTGCCCCAGATGAGTTCAGTACGGTTCCAAATAAACGCCCCCTAGCGGCGAGCAGAGAGATCCAGCGTGGCGGAATGGGGTGAGGAAGTGCAGGTGGACATGTACCGTTAATAATTTACAGTTAGGTTCATAAATATTGCAACCAAGTACCAAAAATCACAATTTAATTAAGGATTCTGTTAGTCTGTCTAATTAATTTTGAGCCTCTAAAAATGGGTGATGGCTACGTATGAAAGTAGCTGTCATTCCTTCAGCTACAGTTCACCCAATTTGGATGTAAATACCCTCAAATTAAAACTAGTCTGCACTTTGAGCTCATATTCACTGTTTAACTTCTACTCCAATGTGCTGTGGTAGACAGATAAAAAGATGAAAGTAACGTTGTTGACACCTGCATATCTTATTTATGGACATCCAATATGTGATGTTGAACAAAGTATGCAGAGAAACAGATGGACTACAGTCTGTAACTGTAGAACAACAAAGTGCACCTATATAGTAAGTGGAGCTGATAAAATGGACAATGAGCGCAGAAACAAGCTACTTTATAAAGTGGTCAGTGAGTAATAAAGTGCTGTAGTGTTCCTGCTTAAAAGAGTAGCTTTCGCTTTTAAGTGTGTGGTTTCTGTTCTCGGAGAAAGAACAGTGGGATACAATGTGCAATAGATTTGTCTGTCTTAATCTCCAGGAAAGTGGAGGAGGAGTCATGTAGCCTGCAGGTAGGAACCTGATAGCAGCTTGTATTGGTAAAAATCTGCATGATTTTAGGTAAGAAATGTGTGAAACATGCTTTCCTTCTGCTTTTATTTGTCACTTTTGGAAAAATAATGCACTTAGAGGTCAGCCTTGTTATGGGACATTAGCTGATCATCATTAATTAAGCTCGTTAAGCTTGTAATACTAATTCCATATTAAAGAGGATCCTAATGTGGTGCAAGCGGTATGTAATATTGTTTAAAAATAAAAAGAAGCATTCCTTTATTTTTCCTGCTTTTGACATGGCGCGGGTAAACCTGTAACTGTATGCTGAATGATGAGTACTGTATCAGCGCCATTCCCGATAGATTCGTTTCAGAGAGGATCACGTCTGGCGCAGGAATGAACTGTACGCTGTGATTTTAATGGATGCTTTGAAATGAAAAAAAAAAGTGGCAATCATTGAATATTTACACTTTGCTCCAGGGTTAATGTTAATACTTGTAGTTAAGATTGTGTATTCATTCCAAAACAGGAAATTGACTTATATTTTGATAATTAAATGAAGTAAATTAAATGAAATCTTCTACTTGAGACAGTGGACGTTGGTAAAGCACCTTAGATGAATATTCTGTAAGGAGAGATTTGAACCTGCCTGCTGGCAGCGGCTCGGAAAAAGGAAATCATTCCCCTGAACGCTGTGTTTATCTTCCTGTGACATATCGGAGCTCATGCTAATCAGAGTGGAAGTGAATATTTTTGTTTGATGTGAAAGCAGTTCATTTACTGTATGTGTGAAGTAACTGAACATACACTGTAAAAATGATTTGGTGTTTTAATTTTTATCAAGTGAGCCTGGTTGTCTTAAAATTAAGCTTTTATTGAACTTCAGAATAGAGCTGGCCAATGTATTAAAAGGTTATGATGCTTCCATTTTTTTTTTGTTATTTTTGGAGAATATTGAATATTCATAAATAATAATGTTCTTTCCAGCACTTGAGTAGCTGTAAGGGTTAATGCTCAGATAATCAGCCATCTGAAATTAGCGTAGGGTGATACGCTGGTGTTGCACAGAACATTAGCAGCACGCTGATGAGCACATTATCAAACTTTATTTTTTTATTCAAAAATAGTTGAGGGACATCGGTGGGCTTTTGTGTCAGATGACTAACGAAGGCCGCCTCTTCAGATGAGCTAATGTGCTACAGTCAAATGCAAACATTTTAACGTCCCTGTTGAAGTGGAAAATGTTAACACATCCTCTACAGCGAACAAACTTAAATATGGCATTTTTCAGGTTCTTTTACTGCACAATTTCTATTTATTTACATTATGAGTTCAACATTTGTTTTTAAAAAAAACAAAATATAAAATATGCTATAACTTTGCGTGGGCCACATTTTATGTGAAAGAAAAACAGTCATTGTGCAATAAAAATGCACGTTAATTTAATTTCACTGATCATAAAATCAACACCACATGGTATTTAATCAGGGGTGCCCAAACTTTTGCATGTGAACGTAACTCTACAGCTAACCAGTGCAACAGTGGACGCTGATGAGGGCTGGTCATTTTCTACACAAGGCCCAAGTAAACCGAATGCTTAAATACCCGTGCACATCCCTATTTGAATAATTTTGTCGGGAGCTTAATGCACCTCTTACAACCTTCTAAACTTATTTTATGCATATTTTCTGTATGTTATTTCCTTAAGTTGCATGACGTGTCTTGCAAGTCCAGGCATGTTAGGCCTCATTCAGCTAAACCTCAAGCAATAGAATCACTTCTAGCTGGATTATTCCTGAAGTGATTTGAATATTGTGATCTGTATTGTTTACAACCAAAACGCTGAAAAATATCAATACAGATTTTTACCCACATTGTCCAGCCAAAGTTAACAGAACGCAACACCCTGATTATTCCTCAGATAACTCACTATTAGAGCTTCACTGAACGCAATTATTTATGTATCCTAGTTATTTAAAGAAATGGTTCACCCAAAAATCAAACATAGTTTTCTCTCTTACCCCAAATGTAGTCAGTCAGCCAAGATGTGTTTGGTGTCTGAAGTTTGCTTCTTTAGTTTCAGCACTGAAGCTACGAGGCTAATACAGTAGAAGTCTGTCACCGTGAAGACTTCTGCTATTTAGCTACGTAAATCTCGTAGTTTCAGTTCTAAACTAAGAAAATAAACTTTGGACACCAAACACGTCTTTGCTGACTGACATTTGGGTCACACATCACACAGGAATCATATCAGTATGGGCAGATTAATGTTAAATATTGATGTAGGTTAGTTTGTTAGATTTCACCCATAACTGATATTAGATGATGTATTGTTGTATTATTTGAGAAGCAGAATGTTTTAGGTTACAGTTTTTAAATATCTGAATTTTATTCATTTTACAGCATTTAAAACTGTACAGAAAAAGACGCTATATTTCTCCTTAATGCTAATCC